AGGCTAAACCAGGTAGAAGTAGGGTCCAGTCCCTCTGCTCCCTAGCCCAGCCTGTACCGGAGGGCATCAGCAAAAAGCTGTGGTCTTTAATTTCGGCAATGCATCAGGATGAGGTCACGGGTGTTGTCAAAGCAGAAAAGGGGATTCTGAGACTCGGAGAGCACCTGTACTTAAAACACGGGCATGATAAGACAAAGCATGATTACATTAGGCAGAAAATGAGAGAAGTCGGTAGGTTAATTAACGAAGCAAAAACCGCAGGGAAACTGAAAACAATTAAGGATTTCTTTATTCCTTCCAACTTTAACCATGTGATTGATGCAGTCAGGTCTGTGGCTGGATATGATGAGGAAACAAATCAATACAAGACTCCACATCCTTGGCCCTCAAACTCGGCCATAGCCTCAGAAAGCTAGCAGATATTCTTGAATGTGACTCAAAAATGGAGCATTGTGTTGATGAACTATTTATTAAAAACCTCCAACGAAGCCGGCTGCTTTTTGAGAAGAGGTGGGACGTCTGTGTTTCTTCTGCTGCCCTACAGACCCTCCGGCAAGCCAAGTGGAACACTCCGGACCTGCTCCCTCTGACTGAGGACGTTAGAGCCATGCATGCACATATTGAGGTATGTCGACCTGAATATGTGCAAACCCTAATAAGTGAGCCAACGTCTAAGCATTGGTCTAAACTGGCAGTTTTGACTCTTTGTGAGGTCATCATTTTCAATCGAAGAAGGGAAGGTGAGGTTTCAAAGATGCCACTGACAGCCTTTACCTTAAGAAGTAAGACTGGGATCCATTCTGACATTGCTCTGGGACTGTCCCAACTTGAGAAAAAGCTGTGTCAGCATTTTCAACGCATTGAAATTAAAGGGAAAAGAAGTCGGAAAGTCTTTTGACTCCTGAAATGATTGCTTCGATGGAGGTGCTGGTGGAGAACAGAAGGGCCTGTTCCATCTCTGACCATAACCCATACTTCTTTTCCCGCCCGGGCGCAGACACCCACATCAGGGGATCAGACTCCCTACGCCAGGTAGCCAAAGAATGTGGTGCGGTGCATCCAGAGATGCTATCCTCAACCAAACTTAGAAAGCACATAGCTACTATGTCTACAGTTCTCAATATGAAAGAGAATGAGATGGACATACTTGCCAACTTCCTCGGCCATGACATTCGCATCCACAGGCAATATTACAGACTACCAGAGGGGACACTGGAGCTGGCCAAAATCAGCAAAGTGTTGATGGCCATGGAGCAGGGAAGAGTGACGGAATTCGAAGGAAAGAGCCTCGACCAGATACAAATTGAGCCTGAAGGTAATTCTTGATATTATTAAAATATGTATGATTTTTTTCCCCTAAAGGCCACTTGTATTTTTATTTTCTGTGCGACAGGGAGAGCAGTAGAGATCCTCTCACAAACGGACGGGCTAAAAGAAACTTCAAGCGGAGAACCTTCAACCATTCATCCAGATGCACCCCATGGTAGTGGCAGTGCCCCTTCTGGTAAGTGTACCAGGTGGGGGATTACAGCCAGGCTGCTTGGTCCTCACCCTGGGAGTGTATATTGCTAATATATTTTTATTTCTCTCCCTAGAACGTGTAAGAAAGCCATGGTCTGCATCTGAGGTGAAGGCTGTGGAGAAGACCATGACACCTTTCATACAGACTGGAAAGGTCCCTGGGAAGTCTCACTGCCTGGCCTGCATTAATGCCTCACCAGATGACCTTAGACATCGGACATGGAGTGGCATTAAATTCTATGTCAAAAATAGAATCACTGCAATTCGAAAACAAAATCTAAAATAAAATTCCTTTAAAATAGTTGTTTGGTTTCTATTGACTGTTTTGTATTACTTAAAGTCTTGGTAAAAAAAGATTATGTCTATGGGTCCCATTCTGAACGGCCCTGTCAAAGGGACCCACCAGGTAACAAAAACGTGTATGTGTGTGTGGGTGTGTGTCTGTGTGTGTGTGTGTGTGTGTGTGTGTGTGTGTGTGTGTGTGTGTGTGTGTGTGTGTGTGTGTGTGTGTGTGTCTGGCTGGGTGTGTGTGTGTGTGTGTCTGTGTGTGTGGGTGTGTGTCTGTCTGTGTGTGTGTGTGTGTGTGTGTGTGTGTGTCTGGCTGGGTGTGTGTGTGTGTGTGTCTGTGTGTGTGGGTGTGTGTCTGTCTGTGTGTGTGTGTGTGTGTGTGTGTGTGTCGTCTCTTTGTTTGTCAGAAACTACACATTCATTCATGTTCATGTACAAGAAGCAGGTGTGAGATTATCTCAGCACTGGACACGTGGAACCAGGGACACCAGGGAGACCAGGGACACCAGGGAGACCAGGGAGACCAGGGAGGCCAGGGAGACAAAGGGGACCAGGGAGACCAGGGAGACCAGGGAGACCAGGGAGACCAGGGAGACAAGGGGGACCAGGAGGACCAGGGAGACCAGGGAGACAAAGGGGACCAGGGAGACCAGGGAAACAAGGGGGACCAGGAAGACCAGGGAGACCAGGGAGACCAGGGAGACCAGGGAGACTAGGGAGACCAGGGAAACCAGGGAGACCAGGGAGACAAGGGGGACCAGGGAGACCAGGGAGACCAGGGAGACCAGGGAGACAAGGGGGACCAGGGAGACCAGGGAGACCAGAGGACTGTCAAGATGTTATGAGTTCATGCTGAATTATAAATAATTAGCTTCACGGTAAAATCAGGAAGCAATTAATGTGCAAATGATGAGGGTAAAAATACATCGAGTTCCTTCGGGATCAGAGGAGAACCATCAAGCGCAGAACATCACAGGATTCAGAAAACACACATGGTTTTATCGACCATGATTCAATCAATAATGAATTGGTCTCTGATGACGGAAGGACACAATGTACACACTGAACAACTGAACTCTCCAGCCTCAGCCAATCACACACTTCTGTCAGCCTGCTCTGGCTCCTGCTCTGGCTCCTGCTCTGGCTCCTGCTCTGGCTCCTGCTCTGGCTCCTGCTCTGGCTCCTGCTCTGGCTCCTGCTCTGGCTCCTGCTCCGCCTGCACCCCATTCACACCATGCCCTTAAGCCACCACTAGTGCTTGACTCTGGGGGATCTGAGACCATCTTCAGCTGCAATGATCTCCCCACTGAAAGTGTCACTGCCGGGGTCGATGCGCAAATTAATATATCTTTCTAAAATGTGTTTTAGTCTGTTCTAGTCTCTCCAGGTTCATTTCAATTCTAAAAACAGCCCCGCATTTCCTATCACAGACACTGTAAATAACATTGCACTGACTTGAATGAAAGCATAAACAAAAGAGTTGTCTGTCTTTGACAATTCCAGTTCTTTATACTGTTTAACATTTCTATTCATGGTAAAAAGCATTAAAAAAAGGATAGAGTGGATTAGCTTTGTCCTACCCTGGTCTTACCACAACATTGTACTCATTTCATTCTGCACTAAGGTCTGGATTAGCTCTATTGACTCCGTTAACAGGTGGGAAGGGTTAATTATTTTTGCAGATTGAAACAATTGGATCTGAGTTTACCGTGACGTATGTAATGAGCCCGAGTGAGTGAGGCATTTAGCATTTAGCCTAGCTTTAGACATCTCCTTTGTCACTAATGGAGCAGGTGGGGAGTAGAGCCACAACATCTTTGCTTCAATGACAGTCACTAAACCTTCCTCTTGCTCCGGCTTCAGTTTCTTGATATTTGGATTGAACCAGAACAGATGATTTTACTTTCACATTTTCCGACAAACTACAACCAGAAAATTCAGCACAAACTCTTGACGTCACCGACACCGACCTACAACACCCGCCTCCCCCGCTCTCTGATTGGTCGGATTCAACCGAGGAAACTGCAGCCACTAGGATCAGACCCAGACGTACATGTAGGAAATGATCATGGACCAGAGTTTACACATGGTAAGACCAGACGTACATGTAGGAAATGATCATGGACCAGAGTTTACACATGGTAAGACCAGACGTACATGTAGGAAATGACCATGGACCAGAGTTTACACATGGTAAGACCCAAACATACATGTAGGAAATGATCATGGACCAGAGTTTACACATGGTAAGACCCAGACGTACATGTAGGAAATGATCATGGACCAGAGTTTACACATGGTAAGACCAGACGTACATGTAGGAGATGATCATGGACCAGAGTTTACACATGGTATGACCAGACGTACATGTAGGAAATGATCATGGACCAGAGTTTACACATGGTAAGACTAGACGTACATGTAGGAAATGATCATGGACCAGAGTTTACACATGGTAAGACTAGACGTACATGTAGGAAATGATCATGGACCAGAGTTTACACATGGTAAGACCAGACGTACATGTAGGAGATGATCATGGACCAGAGTTTACACATGGTAAGACCAGACGTACATGTAGGAAATGATCATGGACCAGAGTTTACACATGGTAAGACTAGACGTACATGTAGGAAATGATCATTGACCAGAGTTTACACATGGTAAGACCAGACGTACATGTAGGAAATGACCATGGACCAGAGTTTACACATGGTAAGACCCAAACATACATGTAGGAAATGATCATGGACCAGAGTTTACACATGGTAAGACCAGACGTACATGTAGGAGATGATCATGGACCAGAGTTTACACATGGTAAGACCAGACGTACATGTAGGAAATGATCATGGACCAGAGTTTACACATGGTAAGACCCAGACGTACAAGTAGGAAATGATCATGGACCAGAGTTTACACATGGTAAGACCAGAGGTACATGTAGGAAATGATCATGGACCAGAGTTTACACATGGTAAGACCCAGACCGTACATGTAGGAAATGATCATGGACCAGAGTTTACACATGGTAAGACCAGACGTACATGTAGGAAATGATCATGGACCAGAGTTTACACATGGTAAGACCAGACGTACATGTAGGAAATGATCATGGACCAGAGTTTACACATGGTAAGACC